GCATACACAATAGAAAACATACAAAATTACACATTGCTGCATTTGACAAAGAAGTTTAACTAGTAATTTCAGAAGTTATCAGGCTTTACAAAGGACTTTAACTCATTTCATAGGCCTTTGTTTGCACTAATGAAGTACTTGGTTGCTTTCCAGATCCCTCAGCACAGATCAAGCCACCATCCAAGTGCAATGTACAAACACACTGAAAAAGGAAGTTCCTGTTTTAGGACTTTTTTTGGAATCACATTTTACTGCTTAACCAAAACAAAAACAAACAAAAGGAGAGCTCAAAGCTGCTTATGTCCTTCCAGGACTCTAAAAAGAAATCTGACAAACTGTGACACATCACCCCAACTTTCCTTCAGTTGTACTGTCCACTGTAATTCACACAGCAACGAGCTTCTGCAACTCTCCTCTTGCTTTTGTTTTTTGAGAGGGCTATATGCACAGTTTGTGGTCTACCTGGACAATTAATGTGGTTCACACCCAACACACCTTTGTCAACTGCTATGCTCTTCCCAAGGGACTCTTGAGGGTTGTGCTGGAAACAGTCCACTGTTCCTGACGTAATGCCCAACACCCAGGCACATAGAGGGAGAGGGAAGAAAGGAACGGGGAAAATCTGGGAGGGAACTGGATGAGTTCTCCTCGCACTAAGGAGCAGGGAGCAGCTGAACTCCTTCCAGCTTGGCTTAGTATCGAGAACATACATTTCTCCTTGATTCCAGTTGCCTCCATAAGCACTTCTACGCTTGCTTGGTTCCTGTTGAGACTAAAGCTATCCGACACTTAACCAAACAACAGACACTATTTCCTTGGGTGTTAGGGTGGATTTTTGGTTTTCTGAATGTGTGGTTTGTAATCCCATAAGCAGCTTTGGGAAAGGAAGAGAACAGGTAACAAACAGAACTTAAGTTCAATCATTTTTTTCCGGACACCCAGCTTTTCTTTTGGTGCTAATGCCATTGTTTCTAGATAAAATCCAGCACCACTATCCAACTGAAAAACCATCAGACACCTTTGTTCCTTGTAGGGTGATATACTGCAATCATCTTCGTATTGTCAGACAGCCTACTGCTCCTGCAAGTTATTCATCTGAACTCCTGTCTGCAAGGAGGGAGATGCTGATGCCACTGTGCACACTGGTGGTGCTTGTTTGCCTAATAAACAGTTAGGTGCTTGTTTGCCTAACAGGTGCTTGTTTGCCTAACACAGTGATGCAATTCACTGTGTTTCTTGTATTCTCTTCCCATACACCAGCCACCAGCCTGCCTTATTCTAATTATAACATATGCAGCTAGATGTGCTTTTCTTGCTCATTTTATACTTTGAGCTTTGCATGCCTTTCTCACCAAAATCTCCCTTCTTGTGGCATTTATTCTCAATTACATCCACATGTTGGACATTGTTAGCTGAATAAAAACTGTAGCAACTATAGAGTGACCCAGAAAAAAAAAATACAGCAAAGCAATTAGAATTTACCAAGCAATGATATTCACCTGGTTTATGGTCAAGTTTTGCAGAAGGTGAACAATCAATCCAGTCTTTTAGTCTGTTCAAAAACTGTAAGACAACTCTCTAGCCTTGTGTGACTGACAGATCAGATTCCCTTTACAGTTTCACTTCTTGTGTACTCTATTAAATAGAACTAACCTGGATATTATGAGTGCACTATGCCTAAAACAGTTGTCATAAAAACTCAGTGCTATTTTTTATTCAATTTTGATGAAGGAAGCTTTCAAAAACTTTGAAAGGTATCAGAACCTCTTGTTAGACATGAGGCCACTTTTCGTCTTGCCTAGTTTTGAGTAATACGCTTTGCTTGGAGGTGCCATTAACATCTTTTCCACAATTTTTCAGTTCTTTGGTGGTGTTTTTCTGTTTCATTCATCCATTTAAGGATCACTTCTAGTAACTTTTAGTAACAGCTGATAATCACCATATATTTCAAAAAACCAGAGCCACAGCAACACTTATTCAGTGACCTATTCCCACTTCTTCCATAAATCACCTTTCTTAGACTTGTATGTAGTATATTACTCCATCAACTCTGTTTTCAAGGCCAAACCTTTAAAATTTGAACATTCAATACAATGCTTTTCTTTGTCAAAAAATATACTTTGGACAGCAGCTAGATTTTAGTGTGCTGAAACCACCAACTCCCAGAGCAAACTTGACTGTTATTTTATTCCCCTCTGGCATATTTGTGTAAATATTTGCTGGTTGCCTTTTCTGAGACCATAGGGACTTTGGAGCAAGAACTTCATCACAGCAGTTGGTGTTGTGAAAAGCACAACTAGGTGCTACAATATTACTAATATTTCCTAGTAATTGCAGTCATGGGATTTTCCTGTGCATAAAAGTTGCTTTTTTTTTTTCCCCGGTATGTACCCTTATTATAAAAATGAAATAATAATAAAAAAAAAATCAAGGCTGGGGAAAACAAACAAAGAACACATTAAATGATGAAGAGTTTTATGATCCAGAACTGGGACTAAAAAAACTAACATGAGTCACAAAATTCAAAAGCAGTCCTACCAATAATCGCAAAATTAGGAACGCTTAAAATTTTAAATTATTTTTCTAATACTACTTTAAAAAATATCAATTTTTAAATCAGTTTTAATTAAAACAGTTGTCAAAATCTTTTTTAAAGTGTAATATGTATTTTTCGAGAATCTTTCAAAATTATACTTTCCAATTAGTGATTTCTGTTTTGACTAACTGAATTTTTCAAACAAAATTATTTTGATAAAAATTTCCTAAACCAGCTCAAGTAAAAAGTTATTTTTCAAAACATGTTTTTATCTTCCTGACAGCATCCTCCATGTGGAAGTAGGAACTCTTAAAATTAACAGAAGGTGTATGTGGAGGAGGTGGGAAGTTTGTAAAGAATGCTCCAAATGCCAGATCTATCATCTGTGTTATTAATATGTCGGATCTGGTACATACAATGAGCCAGCAATGAAGGTACAAATTTGATGGTGTTTCTGTACAATGAATCCTTCTTGTGGTGTATGATTCCCGAGGTGGTGTTGAAAATGTGATGAGTTGTCCATTTGAGACAGAAGGAATGCCCTGAGTAAGGAGTGAAATGGGATCCAGGACCGTGACAGCCCCATGCAGGGAAGGGAGGGAAGCAAGCACTGATTTACTACATTTTAATGAATAGCAGTGTAAGTTAAAAATAAAAACAGGAAGGAGAAGAGCGCAGCTTTAATGAAGAGATGGAGAATGTGTCAGCTCAGGAAGCTCCAAGGCCATGCTAGCTCTAGGAGACAGGGCTGCCTCTCTTGGCTTCTCTCTAAATAAAGGTCCACTCTGGCCATGCAGAACAGATTAGTTGGAGCCTGGGCTTTCGTGAGAAAGATATCTGTCCAAGAAATTTTAAGAAGCTAGGAAGAGAGATGCCAGGTATAAATGCAAAGTATTTTTCTTTTGCAGCTTCGCTTCCAGGTTTTATAATCAGAGAATTCCTGTGTGATTTGGATGTCACCCCCAAACATATTGTAGATGAGTGTAACTGCCTGCAAATCCATAATAAATATGAGTATTTAGCATCTGTTTCCCAGCAGACTAGACAGGGTAAAAAACAGGATGCTGAAGGCAGCGCTTATCAATCACTTCACTAGGAACATGACCATACTCCAAAATGCATATTATCACAAAACTATCACACGTGCAAACACACTCCTCTACCTTGCCTACTCAGAAAACTCACATACTGGCATCTCCTGCATTTTCCCCTCCAGCTTTGTTTACATCCTCCGAGATTTACATTCCTTCTTTAGCCCATGCAAAGGAAGAGATATTCCTGGCATCTGTGTGTGCATTACCATGGTTACTTAGTTCCTCTGCAGCAAAATGGGTTGGTCTATGACCTGACACCGCAGCTCCAGGAGTGAGTTCCTCCCTTGTCCACTGCTTTGCAACATCTCATGCTGCAGCTGTTTTGTTTTTTTTTTTTTTTTTTCAGAAAATCCAAATGCAAGCAACAGTGAGGTACCCAACAAACTCTTCCAAAGTCTTCACACATTTTTTTTCCCCTATATAGTTTGTCTCTAAGTATGTTTTTTGGCAGGCCCAGTCCTTGGTTTTGAAGCCATTTTTCCAGTAAGGTGTCATCAATAGCATACCTGCAGGTTTTACCCAGTACATTTTATTTGAGGACACCGTATTACACTTTAAAAATTTAGCCTCAAAAGCATGCTTACCAGAACACCTGTGACTACACGACAGCCTGGGTCTGTCAGGGAAGAACAAAAGTTTGGAGCACAAGGATGAGGACTGTGAAGTCTTAAATGAGGGTCTCAGCTGGGTGGGGGGAACAGCTTCCTCCCACAAAAGCAATCTGGGTTTCATTGTTGTCACAAGTTTTACAGTACACGTTGAAGAAACTGTCATCTACTGAGATATTAGCAAATCAAGCATCAAACCTAAATAAATATCTCAATATCAAATGAGGTATAAACAACAAAATATTGATAAAATATAATGAAGATAGAATTCAATCCAGGCAGAAGGCATATGTATCTCCACAACCGGCTCAAATTTTCACTGAAACAAAACTTATCAACTGCATTTTTTAAGCAACATCATTCTCACAGGTTTTTTTTCCAGGCAATATTTATAACAAAACAGATACTTATACTGTTAGGAAGAATTCTCATAATTTATGTTTCTAATATTTATAACAAATTCGACCTATTTAAAGAAACTTAAAGCAATGATGTAATCTCTGGAAGTGGTACACAGAATACGTGTACCCCACAGTGTCAAGGCAAACACAGATGTATCCTACTGTGATTCTGAAAACACAAATACCAATGAATATCTGCAAGGAAAGCAAAAGCTGGCAAAATTCGAAATGGCTTGGTAGTCATATAGTTATGTAAAACAAGTTGTGAAGTTCTCCAGACTTGATTTAACATGGCTGAAACAGAGTGGGTAGTTTGTTTGCATCCAAACAGCGAAAAACATCAGTCAAATTAAAAACATACACAAAAATGACCGACTGGTACACGTACCTTTTCCATTTATTGTTAATGCTGATGCAATTGTGGCTGTTACTGGCACTGGCAATTGTGGCACTAATGGATGTATCCTTGGTCGGCTCCCCATCCTAGCACGCTCCGCACCAGGTCCTAATAAAGCTCCTACTGGTTTTTCTGCTGCTACTTCTGGTGCTACAGAGTCTTCTTGATCCTGCTCTATATGGTCCATTTTATCCGGGCTTTCATTCTGGAAGCCATCAACTGTTGTCCGGCTCTTAATTGGACTTTTGGGCACTAGGATTTTAATACCTGATTTTGCAAGGTCCATATTTTTCCTTCCAGAAAAAGATGGTGAACTGTTTTTCCGGAACTTCTGGGTAGCAGAAAAGAGTTGATTATTTTTTGACTCATGGTCTTTACCCATAACTAAAGATTTAGTGGATGTCTTTGAAAAAGAACTATTGGTAGATCTAGAAATTTGTTTTCTGGCATTATTTGGAGAGGTCCTGTTTGTCCTGGTTAATGTGCTTTCTTTCTGCTTTTCATTGTGACGTCTGTTAAATTCATGTATATATTCCTCACAATTAACAAGGTGCTGTTCTGGCTCCCAAGTATCATCTTCACTGTCGTATCCTTTCCATCGCACCAAATACTCTGTTTTTCCCTTCTTGTTTTTCCTCTTGTCAACAATCCTCTCTACCTGTTAAAAAGGAAAATCAAACATTAGACATGGACAGATACAAAACCCAACTGCATGCAAATAATTTGTTAAGTGTAGATAGATTTAAAAATAGTCTTGCAGTTCTGTAATTCTGTGTTGTAGCTCTACAGCTTACAGTCTTTCACTGCTGACTGGAAATTCCTCTCTTTAAACTTCAGATTGTTACTTCCACCTCATGCAAGACATTCTAAAATACCAAAAAATAGTTCTTCAGTAAGTATTTTACATGCACAAGAACCTGAACATGATGTATTACAGTTGACAATCAGCATTGGCCCCAGCAAAGTTTTGACATCAACTTCAACATGGATGGAATTTCCCTCTCGGAATATAGAGATCATGTTTAAATGAACTGTATAAACACAGTGTGTTTACCTCACAAAACTTACCAATTTGATATTGTTTGATTAATTTGCTTGCTTAGCATACAGCATGTATGAGAATCTCTTACTTACAGTGAGTTATCCTTTATTACCAGGGAACAACATGGTACAGCTCAGAAATTGGGGCCAATACAGAAGATTTTTTTTAGAGGCTGTTCTTCTTGTGAAAACAGAGAGCTGGTTTGGCCAGAGTCTTTGATACACATACTTGAACAAATTACCATGCCTCACTTATCTGCAAATAGAGATGATAATTATGTCACAAGCATTATGCATGCACATGCTACGACTGCACGTGGGACCCACAGGCTAGAGGAATTTAGGCACTGGGGTAAAGCAGACAGGGTGGACAGCAGCAGCTGCAGGGACAGAGGCTCATGCCTCGTACCAAAACTCATGCCAGTCACACTAATCCCACAGAAAGGGAATTCTTTTATAGAGAGACAAGTGCAAGACTAATCTCAGGATTTCCCCTTTTTATTTCATTTTTTCCTACCCAGGTTGCTCCTTCTGCTAAATCCTCCAGCCCACTTCATTTCAGTTATGGGACCAATATAGCTTTCTTTCCCATCTT